TGAGGGGGCGTCGGCAGACTTTGACTCGTCCGCCTGGACGCGGTACCGGCCCAGAAAGAGCTCATAGGCGTCCTGGCGAAAGCCGTCCTCAAAGTTGTTCTTGTAGTAGCGAATGGCGGAGTTGAGACCGTCCTGCAGCTTGCCGTACAGGCGGCGCTTTCCAGTCCGCGTAAAGTCAGTCTTCAGCGCCGGAGTGCCGGCGTACTGCGTCGAAATGGCGTCGGCGTTGTCCGCCCACACTAAAGTTTCACCAAAAAGAAGCAAAAAGTTTGTGTGTCATTGACCACCCAGTCTCTCGCTGCCGCACCCGAAATCCTTACCGTTTCTAAACATGTGCCAGAGACCGTCAAAGTCCTCCACCTTCTGACCGTGCGAGATGATGCCAAAGTGCGTCAGCTGCTGCTCCAAACTGCATTTGGCCAGCAAGCTCTGCACCACATTCGTTCGGTCGAGACTGTCGACGCAGTTGGTTCGAAAGACGCCCTGCTGGTAGGTGTCCCGCTCAGTGGTGCTGAAGTAGCCAAACTTGTCAATGTGGTGGGCCACCTTGTCGAGCAGTAGCGAGAGGCGGTCCCAGCGGATGGCTCGACACTCGCGGTGAAAGTCAAACGACTCGAGGTAGACCTTCTTTGGCGCCAGCTGGTAGCTAATCTCTCCAAAGGTCGAGTGCAGCTTCTTCAGCAGTGCCTCCTCGGGGCCGTGGTGGTCGATCAGATTGAGCATCACCAGGCTCTCGTACATGGCCGTCTCGGAGAGGACCGACTGCAGGTGACCGAGAAAGTGGGCGGCATTTGGCAGATCGTGGTTGATAGTGGGCGGTGGCTTGTAGCGCAGATCAGGGTACTGTGACCAGTGCAGAGGAATGGAGCCACGGATTTGCACGTAGGAGGAGGCGGCACCGTTCGGGTAGCAGATGATCTGCTCCGTTTCCACGTAGTTGGCGACATGACCACAGTGGTTTACACCTCGGTAGAAGAGCCTGGTGCCGGCACCTTCGGCCGCCCGTCGCGAGATCAACGTGTACAGAAAGTTCTTGCCGTTGACGACCACCGGGTACTGCACAATAAAGCCAAAGATGACCGGCAGACAGAAGGCGTCCAGGTCCTTCTGGCCGCTCTCGCCAAACAGATCCTCGACTAGGGCCTGGTTCCAGACGAAGCGTCCGTCGGCCCGTTCAAAAAGCGCCTTCTGGTTCTCCAGCTCCCGGTTCTTCTGGTAGCGACTTTGCAGTGTTCGCGACAGATCGTACGAGTAGGAGAGGTGAAAGCCGTCCGACTGGAGAAAGGACTGCACCATGGCGATGTACTGCGTGTTGAAGCGCTTCTGCTCCTCCGTCAGGTGCAGCTCAGAGTGGTGGTAGGGGATCATCTCGATGGCCTTCACGCGGTAGATCGGCTCCGCCATGATTTCGCCAATCTTCGCGACGCGGCTCACCAGCAGCAGGTACTTGCCGGCGATCAGGCGGATGGAGCCGAAGACGCCGTGCACACGACGACTCGGGTACAGGCTGGCGACGACGGCGCCGACGCCCTCCGAGACGGTCACCTCCTCTGTCTGGCGGTTGATCACCAGTCCCTTCTGATTGGCGGCAGCGTTCTTCAGCGGAACGAGGTAAAAGTTGTCGCTGGTCTGGTAGAAGTCCAGTTCGCGGTGGACAAACGGGGAGGTCGGTTGGGGCGGCATGATGGTGGCGGTAAAGCTGATGGTGGTGGTGATGATGTTCTGACGGCAATGGACTGTTGGCGAAGTGATTGGACCACAGGAGGGGATATGCTACGACAAACAATGCTGGAACAACAGTGCCAGCACGGTGTTTGATCACTGGCTGATTGAGGAAAGGATGACTGAAGGAAAAAGAGGAGAAAAAGGGAAAGGATGGAAAGGAAAGGAGAGAGACCAGGATTGGGTTGCCTCTTCATTGGGCGGCTGCAAAAGATAGAGAGTTCATTTGCTTCTGCTGCTGATGCAAACACCGAGGCACAACAATGGTCAGCAGAGCACCGGTGCTGGGACAGCAATATGCCTGTGTTCCTATGGCGTTATGTAGTCTGTGAAAGATCAGCAAGATCAAAGGAAAGACAATCTGCCACCTTCTGACTGAAAGAGTAACCAGACGATTTGACAGCTTCCTTTGGCGCCATTGGCTGATTTCAGTTTTTTATTTTATGAATGTACCCAGCAGCTGGGCCCCAGCTAATGTTATCGTCAACGAACAAACNTGACTGAAAGAGTAACCAGACGATTTGACAGCTTCCTTTGGCGCCATTGACTGATTTCAGTTTTTTTATTTTATAAATGTACCCAGCAGCTGGGCCCCAGCTAATGTTATCGTCAACGAACAAACTGTCAACTAACAACAGCAGCAGCAACAACACTTTTTTCGAGTTTTCTTCTTCTTCTTCACTCTCTTCGGAAAGGGCACCTCCTCATCAAGGTAAAAACCCGGCTCTTCTAGGTAGTACTGCTGCTGTTCATCAAAGGGAATATCACCGTTAGTTGAAGGTCGCGGTGATGGCGGTGACACTCGTCTCTCTGGAGAAGTTGTTGTAGGAGAGGGTGTGGTTGAGGGTGACGCTTTGGGTTTCGTTTGATTTGGTCTCACCGACCGGTTGGCATGCGTTTCCTTTGGCTTGAGCAGGGCCATAATCGAGGGCGGCACTTCCGAGACTAGCGCATTGTTTGTTTTGTGCAAGACATTGGCCGCATACAGGTTCTGGTAGTCAGCAGGGCCCAGCAGGGCAGTGGGACAGTCGGACTGCAGGGCAGCGGGCAATGCCTTTATTGCTGCTTTTGGGGAAACCTTCCCCTGATCAGCCTTCTGCTTCTGCTTGCTAAAGAAGTTCTCGTAGTCCTTGGCCAGCATTACCGTGGGCATTTCGGAGGTGATTTCCATTACTTTCATTTTCATTGAAGGACTAAGGGCCTTGGCGATCGAAGTTTTCAACTTTACTTTAGAGCGACCACCTCCGCCACGATCAACCTTCACCGGAGTTTTCGGCCGGACAACAACTTCATTCAACTGCAGTAGAGCCGTGGGCATGTCGTCGTCGTCAAACTTGGTAGCGTTTGTCGGAGAGCCCGGACGACTTCCTCGGACTTTTCCCTTCCTTTGACGATTTTGATTCTCAAAAAAATTAACATAGTCTGCCGGACCGATGAGCGCAGTGGGCCCCGACGAGTCTGAGGGTACTTTCTTCAGCGGCGCATCTCCAGCACCTCCGCCTTTCTTCTGCTTCGTCTTCAGCAGCCGCCGATTGTCTGAAAAGTAGTTTTCGTAGTCTGCCGGCGCAATGACCGCCGTCGGCTGGTCATCATCGTCAGAGGGCGAAGTGGTGGCGCCCCTTTCTTCAGGTGCAGTTGAGTTGTTCGGTGGTGCAGCAGCTGTCGATGCTGCGCCAGGGCTCGCCGAAGTTTGTGGTCTTCGTTTGATTGACCTGAGAATGGAGGGCACCTCCTCCTCTGCCTCCTCAGTAGTGCTCGTCTGCTGCGGCAGCTCAGCCTCATTGCTCTGCGATGGATTGTTTCGGGTGGAGGTGTTGGTGTACTTTCGGTTGTTGTTCCGGTTATTCGCAGCCATCAAAGAGAAAGAGTGAATGATGTCAACAGCTACTCACAGCTGGCAGAACAGATAAAGCGTCCTAAGGCGATTGTTTCAAAAAAGAAAACAAATAGTTCGATTTATTGCAGAGGCGAAAACGGATCACAGAAGTGCTGGTGGTGGCTACTCAAAGAACCCAAAAACTTCAATCTCTTCCTCGTAGAGCCGCAGTGCAGCAGTCTGCAAAGTGCCGGCATTGGTAGTGGTCACTGTGGTCGTCGTCAAAGTGGGCGCCCAATTATCAGCCCCTGCCATCGCCGGCGTTTCAGCAGTGGTGGTGGTCGCCGTCCCCGTTGGAGTGGTCACCTCATCAAAGGGCAAAGCCTGCAGCTCTTCCGGCGTCAGCAAATCAGCCGTAAAGAGCGACAGGCGAAGCTGCACTTGGCGGCCACTGCGAGCCACTGCTTCCACAATGGAGGTGGCCGGGCACTGCAGACCAAGGGCACTCAGTTCCTCAGTGGTGGTCATCAGGCCGAGGCGTTGCTGGAGCACGTACACCGGCAACTCCTGCTGCTCTAGACCGGAGGTGGTGGTGGATGGCCGGTGAAGGGTGAGCACTCCCACGGGAAGGCCTGCCCAACTGGAGGCGTCTCTCGCCAGCGTGGTCGCCATCGTCAGCGGAATGAAGCGAGGATACTCGCGAACTGCCCGGTAGCGGCCGCCATTTTCCTCTCTGGTCTTGAAGGAGAGGCTGCCCCGTTGATGTGCCAACTGGGCCCCAATGTCGTTGTGCTGCTGTTGCAGTTGTTTTTGTGGCATTTGGTTGAACTTCACTTGAGGAATGTATTCAGTGGCTGTTACCGTCTGTGACTGCTGCTGCTGGTGAAGTTCCCCATGGTACTCCTTCGTCGACCGCCTAACTGGCTTATTCTCCACCGGCTTGTCAAACTCATCCAATGAGTCGGTAGAGATCAGCGACGCCGTCTCCGAGTTCCGGCTTGCTGGAGAGACCACCTTCGTGGTGGCTCGTTTCGACTCGTGCTGGAATATCTTGGCGGCGGCAAGCTTCTCTTGAAGAGCTTTGACTTTAATATTTGTTGTCATCTTTTCGTGCTGCATAGTCGGCTTCTTTGACATTGTCTTGGGCGAGTCACCCTGGCCAGGTGGAAACTTGGCCTGTTTTGAACTGTGAGTAGACACTGGATTCTTGGCACTATCAGTCTGAACCATGAGAAGAAGAGGTGATGAGGTGGTTTGTGAAAATGACAAACACTATGAAGTGCAAAGAACAGCTAATATTGCCCAAAAAGTTCGAAAAAGCTACTTCACAACAAGCAAAGTGGTGTCAATTATCGAGAATGCTTTTTAATGAATGAAGAGCAAAAAAATGTTTTATCTTTTTGTTGCATGATAGAACGGGCCAGGATGTGAAAATGAATGGGAATAATTGGTCGCCGAGAAATTACACCAGGAGCTTCTCAATCTCATGTCTGAGGGTTTCAATTTGTGACTTAAGCATTGATCCCTCGCTGGTGGTGATCGAGCAGGCAATGATTTGCCGAGATACGCCACAGGCACGTCCAAGAGCTAAAACGTACAAAATATAATAAACATCTTTAAAAGACAAGTTAACCACTTACCATGCTTCGATCTGATGAATACGTATGGGACGTTCTTGTCTTCGCAAAGCAGCGGCAAGTGCAGCAAAATCTCAAGCGGCTCAGTGTCCGCGGCCATGACAATCAACTCGGAGAGATTTCGGTTCAAAGTCTTTGTAGCTGCAAAGTAAAACGGTCATTAGTTACCTAAATCAACCAGTCAAAAGGCTCCTCTTTACCTTCGTTTGCGCCCTTCTTCAACTGCTTGTAGTTGTTCGCCTGCTGCAGAACGTTGAAGATCTTAGCCGTCAGAGCATTGTCGGCCAGTGGGTACGCCTTCGGGTTGACTTCAGTCTCTTCGGCCTTGATGGGGAATACCAGGTAATGAGTATCGTTTTAAAGTTAAAAGTTCTGAACAAGGACTTACCATTTTGCGGGTGTGTGTGAAGCAGGTGTTGCGGATACTGAAAATGAGAAAATCAAAAACTGTGTTTGTCTGGCGAAGATTTTTGCGGCAGAGAAAACACGCTGATTTTCGGCAAACCTCGTGGCTTTTGCGTCTCAGTCGTAGAAGACGTGCGCCGGCATTCCAGCACGTGACACCGCCTGGCGGACACCGGCGCAGGTGACACACTGTGTTTACCTCATGAGGATCACAAAGTGCGCCTAACGGGAATCTGCTGTTCCAAGATGCTGCTGTTCCAAAAACGCTTTCCATGGAGGATTCTATCAGCTTCGATTGCAAGGTACAGCCTGGTACTGAAGGAGCCAGACCAGACCAGAACGAGGCACTTGCACTGCAACAACGCCGCCTCTGCCAATCGCATTGATTTTTATGCCAGAGTCAACTCAAATCATCTCCATCTGCAAGTTTGGCAGAACTACCTCCTCTCCTCAAAGCGTACACTATCTGCAGATAGCTTTATTGATGAAAGTGCCTACGAGGATGTGGCTGACGAAACTTTGGACGTTTTGGCGGAGAAACTCGAAGTTTTCCTTGACCAGTTAGAAGATAAAAGCTATGATATTGTTTTCAATGTAAGTGCTGCTTCTGTATGTTTGATCTTCAGAAGATTAACGATCATTTTCACCTCAGAATGGAGTCATTACCTTAAGCCTCGGTGAAAATGGCACATATGTGATAAACAAGCAAACGCCAAACAGGCAGATTTGGCTGTCATCTCCCATCAGTGGTCCAAAGCGGTACGATTACATCAACGGAGAGTGGGTCTACAAACACGATGGCCAGCCA